TGAGAGGGCCATTCATTCAATCCCTATGCTTCTCTCTCTCTCTCTATTTCTCTCCATAATGCCAGCATTAGCTGCAAGCTGCTAGCTGTAAAAGTGCTTTGATGTTGACCTCTCACTGCCATTGACAGACCCTCATTGGTGGGTGAGTAGCAGAGCAATAAGGGCATGTGTGGGAGAAAAGAGGATGAAAGCCTGGACAGCTAGGAAGGGATAATATGAACAGATTCCTGCCTGTTCACTTAGTTTCTTTTTTTTTTTTAAACTGGGTCTTCTGATTACAGAGGTTATGAACCAGTAAAACTTCAGAAATGACCACTGAAAGCCTGCTGTACATGAAGAATCAGATAATTGTTCCAGCTCTTGCCTTGTAAAATTAAATCAAGCCATGAACTAAGCAAGAACGCGTAGGGGAGTTGAAAACATTTTCCTGTTTAAGGCAATGAAATAGTGGGGGTTTGTCTGGTACATACAGTAATACTGCAAGGGCAAGTAGCGTGTAAAATGGCATGTAGGGGTGACAGGAGAGTTGCCTACTAATTATGTTGATTATTGTTTCTTATCTTATGCCAAATTCTAAAGCATAAGTCTTAGATCCTTTTTAAAGGATCCAAACAGAAAGGTGCACTAAGAGGTTGAAAGAACTTAAAGAGGTTTCTGCCCCAGGGAGCACGTGTATGTATACACATGCATGTATGCACATAAAAAGCTCCCTATTGCTCCCCACGGTGTTCTTGCATATACTATAAGTGCTTCTATATTCAAATCCCAGTGGGGCCCCTGGCCCAAAAGCGGTTTTGCACCCTCCAAAAAGAGCTGGGAGATGGAGGGTAGATGAGGACCATGGGCCAGCTGTTTTGTGAAAGCGTAGCCAGCTAAGCTGGGAAACTGGAAAGCGTTATTGCTGCCTGTGCCCTATTGAGGCAGGATGTCTCCAGCCACTTCACCTCTGCACTCTCCCTTCACCTCTATGAAAGCTCTCCTTGTCATACTAATAATTAAACCCTAAGGCTCTAACTTGAAATGGCCAAAAGGCTCTGTAAGGCCAATGGAGGGAACAGGAGGGAGGGAAAGTTCACACAAATTTGTATTAGCAACCTTGGTTTTAGTTGCAATCTGAAGGGCCAACTACTGCAATAAAGCTGCATGCCTGACGGCTCCCATGGCCTGCGCTCTGTAGAGTAGCATCTGATCTTCTGCTTGTGTGGGACATGAAAGAATCTGTTCCACCTCCTTTCAGACCCTGCAATTACTCCCTGTGGGCAGCATTAGGCCATCAGAGTTGCTTAAACCATCCTAGGTGAGCTGTAGATCGTGGGTTCAGACCTGGCCTCTTGCCACTTGCTGTTATGTGGTGTGTAACAAAATGGAACAAAATGGCTGGAACAAAAGGAATCTGTTGTTGGAAAAACAGGGGAATGGATGAAACAGGTGCCCGTGTTACAAACTGCCTCGCAATAGCATTCATTAGCGAGCATGTCAGCAAGCTCAGCATTCAGATAATACTCGTGTTACAAACACTTGAATAAGAAAGAAGCCATCACTGGACTGAATTTATTCTTTAAAAATTATAAGGCATTCAGCACACACTTTTGGTGCAGAGACTCTTCACACATTAATCCACTAGAAAGAAAGAAATCTTTCACTGAATGATTAAAAATGTTCACATTTTGGAGGGGACAAACTTCTACAGCACTTTTTGCCTTGCCGTCTGCATTTGCTATCAGGGAACTAATTCTCCAGTCAATTTCACAGATGGTTTCCTGTCATTACTATACAATTGTATTTATTTGATAATAATTTTATAGGACTTTTTCTAGAGTGATTTGGAATTACATGTTCAGCTTGTAGCAGTTTTTGAAAGGTGTGTGAAAACTGCACTCAGTCAAAACTTCCTTGCCTAAACTTTTAAAATAGAAAATGCATTTCAATTGAAGCAAGAAATCTTGCTAGAAGTGTCTTGGTTAAAGTTGTTCAATGCATTTTTCTCTGTGCAAAGGGAAGTGTATATAACCCTCTCTGTTCTGTCACTTTACCTTTTGCTCTTTTCAACTGATTTGAAATAAAGACTATTTTCCCCTTTCCAACAAGAAATGAAATAGGACTTCACTAGTTTTTAAAAAAGGTACCATTTTTTAACTTGAAAGGAGACTGTGGCATATATTTTAAATTTTATACCTTCTTTTACTTTTTTTAAGGTAGCCATGATGAACTTAAAGACTTTGTCAGACACTGCAGAAAACTGTTTTGTTTTTTTTTTTTGTGCAAGTTGAAATTCCACCCAAAAGAGAGTATATGTGTCCTGTTTCTATTATTCTTCCTGGAAAGGTTCCTTCTGACATCAAGTTCTTGATGAATGTTTTCCTTTAAAATGTTAGAACGGTCCAGTCTCTGCCAAGGCACTGTGGTGCTCCTAAACTACCTGAGATCACAAACCTTTGCTGGTTGGTGGGGCTCCACTGAGCACAGTGTCACTGGAGCAAGCAAGGGTTTCTTGTATGGTCATTAAGGAAAACAGGTCTTTATGGGGCACTGGCTCCATTCTGTGACTTCTGAGAGGAGGTTTGAATCTGAATTATCTCCTTGAGGGCTATGTTACAGAAGCCTGGGGAGCTGTGAACATTAGGTCCGTTCTCCAGCATTTTCAGTTAACAAAGCCTTGGGGGATCCGGATAGGTAGTTGGAGTCTCCATTCAAAAGGATTAAACACATATCTCTGCCAGAGGTATGGCAGCTGTTTTGGTAGATATTTTGTATTCTGCCTGTCTGTGGGCTGCTGGAATCCTTACTGTTCCCTGATGTATCATTTCACTCCACTGAAAATCACAAGTGATAACTCAGGAGGCAATAAAATTACAGGGGTCACAGAGTACCCCCAGTATGCTTGAAATCAGGTCACCAACCTCACTCAGCTGGCCCTCTTGCTGATACCTCCCCTTTTCCCTTTTCTCCTCTCCCCTGTTCTCTGTGCCTCGATTGTTTTTAAGAAGAGCCAACTCTCCAGGACCTATAAATACAAGAGGATGTGGACAATGGATAGTACTGGAGAGAATACGTGTCTGCTGCCCTTTGGTCTGCTATGGCCATGTGTCTGGCACAGCTGGTGACACCCTGTACTCTGTCATGCTTTACAGTCTTCCAGTACTGCACAGAATGGAGTCCTGCCCGAGAGCAAGTCCTGCTTCAAAAGGAAACTCAATAAATATGTAATTGTGAGCGGGTGTGACTGTTACTGCCTCCCAAATGGTTTGATGGAGCATGTCAACATTGGTACTTTGCAATTTTATAGTATAAGCTGAGCGTGAAAAATGGAGTGAGTGAGGGAGAGAAGAGGAAAGGGATATGGATGCAAAAGGCAGAAAGTTTTGAAGTCCCAATTTTCTCATGGTGTTCACAGATGAGCTGTGAGTGGTGGAATGAACTGAATCAGTCTTTCAAATTCAAGTTTTCTCCCAAGACCAGTACAATCAAGACTCAACAGAATTTGTGGGAACTCAGAATATTGCAGGGGTATTTGCTTGATCACAGTGTTATCCTTGAATTTTCTCCTACTCTGTACAGGAAATTAAGAACTCCAAATTGAAGGGTACTAGGTGAATACCCAAAGCATCCATTGAAGATTTCCAACATACCAGTTACTTCATTGAATTCTTGTTCAAGTAAATGCCCCCTTTAGATGGTCTTTCTGTTACCCGATCTTTTGTTTGAGCTTATGCAGCTTCAATTTTTGCTGATTTTTATTTTTAATAACAATTCCCTGGAAAATGCTAAGCTGGACTTGTTAGGTTTTGATAAATTGGAGTACTGGTACAGGTATTAGGGACCTGCTGTACCAAGTGTTTCTGCTCTTGGGACCTCTTCTTCCTCTTTCAGAAGTACTGTTCATTCTTCACTGAGACAAACTGTGGCTCTGAAAAAGTCCAGTTTCACCGAGGGGTTTTGGTGTAGTTTAATTATGTCAAAGCAAGAAAACAGTGATGTTTTTTTTTCCCCTAAAAGCTGCCAAAGAAAAAAAATTGGAGGTGTGAACCTTTCTGTTCCTCCTCATTCCAGGCATCCTTGTTCCTGCTAGTTCTTTGCAGGAGCTCAGAGATCACTCTGCTTTGCTCATAAACCAGAAACAGTCTTCCTGCCTTGCAGTGGAGGGAAGACCTGTTCTAAATCAGTAAGGCACTGAATGCATTTCAGTTGGCTGCTCAGTAGGATGGGGGCAAGGAACTGAGGAAACCACCTACAGATGAGGCAGTTGTGTGAGTCATGAGAAGAGAGAAATGTTCAGCACTTCTCAGGAGGTTTTTCCCAGTTGTAGAGCGGAAGCTGAGCTCATAAGTAAAACTCCCAGAAAATATGAAGCTTTGTTAGTGCATGGACAGCCATGAGGAGGCCAAGACCCAGTGTTTGCTTCTAAGGGGTGCTCATCTTACCCAGGGAGCAGGAAAGCTTTCTTGCAACGGATGTTATTGTGCAGAGCTCCTCAAGGCAGGTTTGTTCCCTTGACTTTTAATATTCCAGTTTTTCTCTGTTTGTGATAGGAAATATGACTTAGGTTTCATTTTATAAAAATAATAAAGCCAGAAAAGTTTAAACTCAGATTTGGCCTCTTTGCTTTCTAAAAGAGAGCAGTAGACATTTTCAAAGGACCAATTCCAAAGCTTTATTATACTACTGCAAGGCCTGTAGGAGGGAAGAGTGTTATGCCCAACTCGTAATGCAGACAGAGAAAGATGGATTTTTAAATTATCTACCTTTGCTTTGCAACGTGAACATTTCAGGGCAATTATCCTGAGATAATGCCTACAAATTGCTGAAGACTTTGGGTTTATAATTGCTCGTGTTCATTTAAGGTTCCCAGCAGACTAGCCCAGGAAAATCACTGCCAGTCAAGCCAAGGTTGATGGTATACGGTAACTGAGTTTTTCTTAGAAGACAGACAGACAAGCAAATCAGTTTTCTTTAAGAGCAATAATTCTAACTAATTGTTTGGTTTCATTGTGTTTCCATAGCAGGAGCTGTAGTGCTTGGCAAGGCAGAACAGTGACACTTCCCATCCAAGGCACATCCATGTAAATGGGCAAAATGAATCCAACTGCATGAGGTTATTCTCGTACAGCAGTAAGTAGTCAGCAGCACTATACAGCATAGCCCTACATTTCCTTATTTACACACCAGTAGCCATTCCAGCTACCTTAAAAGTGAATCGAGATTTTACAGGGAGATAATGTTATCATGTCAATGCAGAAAGAAATAAGTGTAGCTGCCTGCCATGTCTGTCATTAAAGAACACTCCTTAATGTAATATTTAGCTGAGGTTTCAAATCGGCAAGAACATTCGTAATAGGGAACACCATTTCAAAGCAGGAGTGTGTTCATATACTCAGATAATTTGACTACAATTATATATACCTATTACCTATTTGTATATTCATATACCTATTTGTATACACATATATATTGTGTATGTAGCCTTACTGCCCACTAATTTTGTTGCGAAGCTCTGATAGCATTCCTATTACAGACATCCAGCACTGGCCTCAGGCATCCATTAGACAACAGAAGATTCATTTCATCATTATTATTTGCTAAGCACAAGCAGCATTGGCCAGTTTAGGTGTCTAAACTCCAGCAGTGTAAAATCTCCCCTTCTGTCCCTCCAACTGTTGCTGTTAGAGCAGCTGAATAACTGATTTTTCTCATCCAGTAACTAAGATTAAAGAAAAGAAATTATAAAATGGGATTTAGCTGACACTTCTGATATTTGGGGGAGAAAAAAAGATATATCACACAAGAATCAACCCTCCCCCTCTAAAGTGCATTGGGTTATCAGAAATATTTTGCTTGACCTATATCAAAAATGCTTGGTTTTTTCATGTTATTTTTTAATGTGCTTCAACAATATTTGAACTGAAAATATTTTGTAGAGAGAAATAGCAAAGTAGATGGGTAAAAATGTTGAAAGTGTGTCTAGACTTTTCTGAGCATTTTTGCTGTTTTGGGGGGTTTTATTAGAATTTACACATAGCAGTGGTCAGTTTGAAGTGAGGTTTTTCAGTGAAGAAACTAATTTCCTGAAAAGTTCCATCTAGGATTAGGAAGCAGGTAACATGCCCTGCCGCAGTACTGAAAATATCATTAGTACCCTGCTCAGGGACTAAGTGGTAGTTGCTAAATTATTCCATTTTTAATGGCTTATTTATTATAATGTTGGGGAAAGTTTTTATGCCTTTATGAAGTTGAGGGTATAATATGCTGTAGCTGGGTACGATACGGTCAATACTTATCCTTCCAGCTGGGAAAAATCTCTGCTGCTTCTGAGTTGCTCCTTCCCAGCTCTTCATTTCCTGAAAACTTGCAAAAATTATTTTCTGGGTGAGCATTCAAATGATTCTACCTTGTCTCCTCTTGCAATGTCTCCTAATGGCTTTGGTTTCGTTTAGTTTTCTCTTTTTTTCTATCTGGCCTTTTGCAAATTCTGCTTTCTTTTTGGTATATGAAGCACAAAGATTTGCGTCCCAGACACTGCCAGGTTATTTTACAATTTTATTCATATTTCCTTTCTCATGGAAATAAGTCTGTAAAAACCGGAACTGTTTCCAGTGGTCTATATGGGTACTAATAGCTGATTTATGTCATAGACAATGAAATTTTGAACTTCTAATAGATTGATGTGAAGATGTATTTCCAGTGAAAACCAAAGAGCACGTATTACTGCTGGCAAGTGGGCTCTTAGAATGAAGAAAAATCAATTCTTTTAGCCATAGTTCTCAGCTGAAAGTATCTTTCCCTAAAACAGATTCAAGATGTGACGTACATATGAACTGAATTTTTTCTTATCTTTTTGAGATACTTACTTCGTTACCTCTTATCTCCAGAAGTTTCTTCTCATATTGTGAAGTCTCCTCTTCACTGGTGTCATCCTTTTGGATAGCAAAATCTCATCTCTTCCCATCTTCCTGGCCCTTAAAGGGACAATACAAAAGGCTACTTGTAAATCTAACAGCATGTTCCTGGAATATCAAATCCGCTTTGCTGTCCATGACCACCATGTCATGTTAAGTTGTAGCATTCATAATCTGAACACGTATCTTAATACTAAAGAGCATGCAGAAAGTTTTTTGTTTGGGGGTGTTTTTCCCCTCTTCTACGCTGGAAGGTCATTTCAGGAATGTGTACTCCAGTGGTGAGAAACATCTTGTAATTCCCACATTATGTGAACTCAAAGCCAGTTTATAGCCATTTCTTCCTGGGTTACCCCCTACGTGTATATATCCTTATACAGCTGTTGTGGACATCCCCTGTTCCTGAATTGTATCTGTGTCCCTTTAAGCCATCTTTTCGGTAGACTGAACAAGCAGACTCTTTTAGTTCCCTCTTAGAAATTCTCCAGTTACTTGATCATTGTAATAGTCCTCTTTGCGCCCTCTGCTCCAATTTGCATGCATCCTTCTTGAGCATGGGTAACTAGAATTTATGCTGTATTTCAGATAATGTCTCACCAGTGCTTTGTGTAGTAGCATTAATATTTTCCTCTCGTTATTAGCACTATTACAGGTGATGAATCCGAGGATTGCATCTGCCTTTTCAGTTGCATTATATTATGGCACATATTTATCCTGTAATCAACTAGCAAGCCCAGGTCTTTCTCCTCCTTTGTCATTCCCAACAGCTTCTAGCAGAAATTCTTATTATTAGTCCTTTAGTGCATGACCTTGCATTTTGTACTGTTCAATTTCATCCCATTTCTATTACTTCTGTCCTCAAGGTCATCCAATTCTTCCTGTATGATATTGCGATTTTCGTTTGTGTTGATGGTGCCTCCCAACTTTGTACAATCTGCAAATTTCATCAGAACACTCTTACTTTTTGTGCCAAGTTTATTAATGAACCGTTAAATGAGATCACTCCAAAGACTGATCTTTGAGGAACTCCCCTAATATCTTCCCTCCAGCCCCATATTTCCCCCTGAAGCATATTACATCTTCGCTTCTCCTGTCACCAACCCAGACCTTAGAGTTCTGACTAATTCTCTGTTTCCCCCAGAGAACTCAGTAGTTCCCAAGAGGCATCTGCTGAACTACTTTAATGAAGACTGGAGACATTTTAAGAATTTTAATTTAAAAACTAACTTTTATCAAAGCCCCTCTAAGGATAGCCTGGCACAGTGCAGCTTCAGGAAGCCCATATGGTAAATGTCTGCCCTTTACTCCTTTTGATTCTTTCTTCAAATTTGTTCTAAAATCTGGTAAGCTATTAAAGACTGACTGACAGGTCTTCCCTAAATCCCCTTTATCTACTCTAAGAAAATGATACTGTAAGGTATAAGAAGTGGGTATAAAGGGGGTAGGTACTGCTATTCCCTCCCCATGTTTTAGTGCACCACTTTGCTGGCTCTGTTAGCTACTGACAGTTGCTATTGGGGCTGCATTTTCACGTGTTTGTTCTCAACTAGAGATCATCCAGTCTTCTGGCCGAAATGCCCTGACATTATAATTTCGTTTCCTGTTTAGATGTAGGTATATTTCTGAATGACAGTGTCATTTCCTAATGTTTGACACTGCCACTCTGAAGAGAAAATAAAAGCAAGGTGTTCATACAGGTTTGTGAAATTTTCTGCCCTCTCAACCCATCTTTTCCCCATCCCAAGTTTCATTATGTCTTTTTCTTTCCATTCACTGAAATCATGTTGTGATTCGTTAATTTCCTTTCCAAAGTCCAACACTTTTTTTCTGAAGTTCCCATTTCTCCCATGTTTCACAGCATCCTTATGAACTATGAATCCCTCTAGAATTCCAAGGTTTAGTCAAATCTGGCTCCTCGTAGCCTGTCAGTGCAGAAGAAAATGCATCAGCTGTGTGCACACACAGGATGCATTAGGAAACACAAGAGATCAGAGCTCCACAAGGCTCACCATGACATTTAACAAATCCTGATGAACATGTTCTCAAGGTTTTTTGACTCTTCTTTTTCTTCATTTTCTTGCTCACAGCTGCTTGGAGGATTTTATGAGCTTTCTCATCATGTCTGTGTCTTTCTCTGGAGGAAGGTCCTCCTGTGGGAGTCAAAACAGTGCCTTTCACCTAGATCGTTTTCAAGCTGTGTCAAACTTCCCTCTGTATTTTACCTGGAGTATTCCCACTATGTGTAGAAGTATGTGGAGTTCAAGCTGTGGTTCAGATGAAGCAACATTCACAGAACACGAGTTTGATAAGCACAAACTGAGCACCTTGCTGGCCTGGCTGAATAGTTCAGCAAGGTAGGTTGTATTAAAGTTTTATTTCACCCCTGGGAAGATGCATTTGGCTGATGGCAGCCAGCTGTTGTGATCTGTGGTGGTGTGCACCAAACATCTGAGGGGCACCTTGAAAATGAGTTTTTCATCATTCTCATCTCAACCTCCAGAATTACTTTGTAAGCAGAGAAGAGCCCAGTGTTTGCTTTTTATGTGCTGGACTCTCCTGCTCAATATAGTGTATGCTGTTTGATAATTATTCTCTTTTTCTCATGCTGTCTCTTTCCTGCTCTTGTTTATCCTCTCCTGTGTTTTACTCTTCTGATGGGTAGATCTCATGTACTGCATCTCCTCAGCCCCAGCATGTTGGGTTTGATGTTCCTTTGCTATGTAGGATTATACATTTATAATAGACCTTTCCAGACCCTATGAAGAAGGAATATGTTTGATAGAATGAGGAAAACAGCATCATGATTTAGAATCAAGATTTCCTTTATGCTGGGAAGTTTTAAAGCCTTGCCCTCATACTCTTCCCTTTCTTTGGCCCGAGTTGCTGCTTTCAATATCAGAAACACTTAACTGTCTCCTTTGCTTATGCCACTGCTGCTGGTGTGAAGTGAGCATGGTATATAGCATTGGGACACCACAAGGTGTGGTGATGTGGCAGCCCTGGAATGTGTTACTATGGTTGTTTTCTAGCTCCACATCAGGGGACATCTTGAAAAAAGGTGTTGGCCAGCAAAGCTCACATGCAAGGGCAGTCTGGCTGAAATCACTGGTGCAGTTGTGGGAATGGGGTTTGGAGAGCTCTCTTCCAAAGAGGCCTCAGGTCCCATTCCAAGGTAAAAATCAAATCTGGTTTGCTTTAATAGAGTTGTATTATGCTGCAGTGAATTCTGGGCTTCTGTTTAAATTACTAGGACAGCAGAAAGGATAGATGGGGCAAATTAATGAAAAGAAGATAGGAAAATGCCTAAGATATCAGTGAGTGGAGAAAAGAAGGGCT